TTATTGGGCCAGGCGGGAACGTAATGTCGCGGTTTCCGGTAGAGCTAACGCGACTACCGTTCCAGACCCCGCACGCCAATTTTCATGAAACTTCCTGCGCGCTGATCTCGTTCTACCGGCGAGGATACCGCGAGCGTTTCGTTTTAATCAACGCGGAAGAATTATCGGGCCTGTTAAAAAGGGTTGAGGAACAGACGGGAAAAATGTTGTTGCTAATGGAGGCATTTGGGTCAATTGAAAATCGTCATTAGCGTGCATTTATTCCGTTCATTCTTTTTAACGGGATCTTGACGGGGCCGAATAATGCGTACCGCGGAATAATGGACGCTGTGGTTAGCTGTTAGATTGAATAGAAGCTTTAATAACAGCGATGCGGACTGCGCGAAGAAAAACTTTGTATTCAGCCTTTGAAAGGGGTACGCGAGATGGATACTGCACTATAGTATCGAGAAAATGCATTAAAGAAATTGCACCGTCTTAGTACGAAAATATAACAGCGAATTCCATAATCAGGCGTAGACGCTCCGAAGTTCAAACCGTGACATTTCATACGTCGAAACGTATGATTTATTCACGGTGGTTCGAAGTACGACTCATGCCCTATCTTTGGAGCTAACGATCGAACGACATCGAATTAGTATAAATATTCAAAACCTGATCGAACGTAACGCCGTCGTATTTACGTCGAGTCTCCGTCGAACGACGAAACGTTAATTTCGTACTCCTAAATATAAAACCACCTGTGCATTGGCCAACAAGCATCGCGCAACGGAAAAAACCGCGCCATTACAGCTCGATCCAATAAATATTCGGCGGCGCCGGTAACAACGAGCAAACACCGCGAAACCGCGCCGGAATTTAAAACAATAAACACGCAATATTCCATAATATACTGTTTATCTTGTTATGGAATCATTGATTTCTCGGCGAGAGGACATCAGCCGGCATCAGAATTCGTTAACATTCAGCCGCTCCCGCGGCGGCCCAATATCCCGGCGACAATTCATCACAATTAAATCGCGTTCCGCCTCCCCGTCTGCCTCCGCTGTTGCATTAAAAACACGGGGACCCGATATACACGGCGTACAAACGCGATTATCAGCGCGAAGATCGTTTTTGCCGCGGCCGATAATGAAACATTCAAAACGTCGGCGAGCGTGTTCGCGCGGTGCACGGCCGCGCAACTCGTCACCCTAATTAATCCCGATGAAATCGCGTATCGACCGTTTTATTTCTCTACG